CACTTAATAGTGCTGGGACAATCAGGTTTCCATATGGGAAAAAAATTAGACCCTTATTTCACACCACACATAAAAAAATCCATTTCAGGTAGATTATGAACTTAAATGTGAAAGACTAAAGAGCTTTTAGAGATATTATTGAAGAATATTGGCTGCCAAGGAGCCTGCAGTGACCAAACTGTGATTCAGCTGGCTTCCTTTACCAAACTGTATTCCTACAGCTCCAGGTAGGACTGAAGTGCAGCTGAAGCTGAGAAGTCAGTTTCTTCATCATCGTCTTTGCTGTGAACGAGAAAGCTGCTCTCAGCCTTGAGGAAGAACTCTTGCTGTGGGATGAGGAGTGTAGCCCTTAAGCTGGGAGGCCTCAGCAGGGCCATGAGAAACCCTGACTCTCAGTACCAAGGATTGCTTCGTGTGAATTCACACCTGTTTGAAATGTCTCAAGTCCAGTAACATTGGTAGCACTTACGGTAATAAACAACTCATGATATGAGAATTACCGAAAAAGTAGATGAAGCATTCTGAATTTGTAGGTGTCAAATCAGCGGTTAATTATAGCATCATTCCAGTTACCGAAAGATTTTTTCATCATTTCTACCTCTCAGACTCTTAAAGCATGCTTCTTGGTATCCAAGTGAAATGCCAGTGCCCTGAATTAAACTGGTAACATTAGACAATGTGATAAAAATTTACTTTCTGCATGAACTCCAGACACACACTAAAGTGATTGTACTTTGAGAAACAGAGAAGGAAAGTCTAATACTTAATATCATGTTAAGAGTTCCATTTGACCCACATCTTTAATACTTGGTATTGTTAGACTTATTAATTTTTGCCACTCTGAGGAGACTGTTCCACTTCTCAGACAGCAGTCACACTTGACTTTGTACCATTGAGAGTGGTCCTGAAGAATATCATCAGTCAGGAAACCAAAGATGAAGTAGCAGCATACCCACTATATATTGAATAAGAGAGTAGAGAGACCTGTCCAAGAGGCCTGGAGACACTGGAAAGCCACTAGGTTCTTCACTTGCGCTTCCTGCAACTGAAAAGAACTGGAGTTATGATGCTCATGCTATATACTCTGCTTACCCTGTGTCTTCAACAATTACTGCTGAATCAGCAATGCTGTATGTATCCCTGTGTCATGCTAGACGAGGAAGAAGACAACCAAATATCAGAGCAGTGCCTGGATTCCAGAGCTGGTCTCGTTCCTTATCTCTGTGTTTGAGTGCGCTGAGATGCAGTTACCACTGAAAGCAGCATCCAGAGAAATGGTCCTTTAACTGACTTTTCTTATCTAGTCAGACTTCATAGAGATTCCTTAAGATTGGTATGAATCTTTATACACTTGAACCTTGAACAACACAGGTCGGAACTATGTGGGTTCACTTATACGAGGATAATGATACAGTCAGCCCTCCATATCCTTGGGTTTCCCATCCGTTGATTCAACCAACCACTCATCAAAAGCAGTATTTTTGATCTATGCTTGGGAATCCTTGGATGTGGAGAGCCGACCGTACGCATGGTTCTATGCCATTTTATATACAGGACTTGAGCATCTGCGGATTTTGGTGTCCATGGAGATCCTGGAGCCAAGCCCCCACAGATCCCAAAGGATGACTGAGTTTTGGGGGATCAAAAATTATACACGGATTTTCAACTGGACAAGGGTCAGTACCCCAAAGCCCTGCATCATTCAAAGTTCAATTCTGTATGCCTTTATATTAACCCATTGCAATACAGGCAGCCAACTCTGATTGAAGAATTCTGGATCATCCTTGACATTCTGGAGTTGACAGTTTATCTTGTCACAAGTACCCATGAATGCCTTATAAGATCTGTATTAAGCACAGTCTATCCAGGATCTCTTCAGCTTTGTATTTGAGATGCCAAGGTAGCAGAAACCCCTGTATTCTGGCTAAAACCCTGCATTCATTTGAAAAGCACGTTATGAGCATTTTGCAGTCTGTTGCCTATCTAGCATTTAAAAAATCATCTGAAAAGACTGTGGCTCCCCGCTCCTAAAGAATGTCTTTTATTTGCTATCAAGGCCATAGAGGTGTTCAGGGAACACTACATTCTTACTTATGTAACAGAGGAGGAGATCTAGCAAAGGTCAAATTATTGTGACCAAAAAAGAAACAACTAAAATACCTCAGTTATTGTTGAGAGCAAAGGAAAAGCCTACAGGAAATAGCTAAGTACTTAGCTGACAGATCTGACCAAGGAAAAACAAGAAGATATCATGGCTAGAAAGAAAAGAGTCCTCCACAGTTTTCATCCTCAAACCCTTGTTCCCTGTTAGTGAGACAGACATGAAGGCAGAATTTCAGTGCTACCTGATCAACTGTAACATTTGGGCAATGCCATCAAGCAGGTTATGACAAAAAAAGGACTGTAGAAGATGATGGAGACTAAGTCTACAATAACCCACCTATACTCTCAGGTCCTAATGGGAAAAGACCGTGCAACTCATCTAGAGAAGGAACGTAAATATATAAGAGAAAAGGGAAATCACAGAACAGACTCACGGTGACGTTAAACACAACCGAAGGTTTAAAACCCACTTTGTAGAACAGGTAAGAGGTGGCATTATTTAATTTCTAAAAAAACATTTTGAATGAGGAAATAATATCTTCATGATTTAAGGTTGGAGAAGAATTTCTTGAACCAGGTACAAAGGACAGTAACTATAAAAGAAAAAAAAAACTGTTAAATTCAACTGCATCAAGCTTAAGAACTTATCTCTTTTATGAAAAAATAGTAATAATAAGAGTTGAACAATCAAGCCAAGACTGCCACAAGATTAAGGACTGGTATCTAAAAAAAGAACTCTTACAAACCAATAATAAAAAAAGACAGACAGCCTAATAGACAAAATGTTCAAGAGATTTGAGTAAGCACTTCAGAAGATATAAAAAATGTCCAATAAACATATAAAAGCTATTAAACCTTATTAGTCATCAGAGAAACACAAATTAAAGCCACAGTGAAATACCACTATACACCAAGTTAGTCAAAATTATAGTGTTTGCCAAGTACCAAATGTGGTGAGGATATGCAACAATATGAAGTCTCATGTCCATTGGTAGGGAGGTAAATTGGTACAACTACTTTGGAAAGCTATTTGGGATTATCTACTAAAGCTGAACATATGGACACCATATGACCCAGCATTTCCACTTTGAGGTGATATAGTCAACAGAAATACATGCACACATGCATCAAGAGACATGTATAAAAATGTTCAGAGCAGCATAGTTATAGTATCTCTGGGTTGAAAACAACCCTAATATCTATCAATAAAATAAATAAATTGTGGTATGTTTATACGATGGAAAACTGTAGCAAAGATAATAAGTTATTGCTCTATATATCAACATGGATGAATCTTATTAAAGGAAATAAAATATACACTCTATATAAAGTTTAAAAACAAACTATATAAAACATATACGAACTTTATATAAAGTTCATTAACAGAAATTAACTATAATATTCAGGGATATATATTAGTCTGGTTAAACTGCCTTAACAAAGTGCCATAGACTAGGTAGCTTAAAAACTGACTTATATTTTCTCACAGTTCTAGAGGCCAGAAGTCTAAGATCAGCATGCTAGCATGGTCAGTTTGTAGTGAGACTTCTGGATTGTAGATGGCCACCTTCTCACTGTGCATTCACCAGATCACCAGACCTTGTCTTTGTGAGTGCTTGGAAAGAGAGGGTGAGCTCTCTGGGGTTTGTCCTTAAAAGGATATTAATCCTATTGGCCATACCCTTATCACCTTAATTACCTATCTTTAGATACAGTCACTTTGGGAGTCATGGCTTCAACATATGCATTTGGGGGAGACATAAATCTGTCTTTAGCAGGATGAGAAGTATTAATGTAAAGCAAAACAAGAAAGTGATTATAATATTAAAGGATGATAAGTATTGATACAAAGCAAAGGAGAGAAGTCAGGATAGAAGTTACCTAAGATTTAAGCAGAGGAAGGAGTTGTGACTGGAAGATGCCATACTGGCAATGTTTTGTTTCTTGACACACATACCTTTTCATTTTATGAATTATTTGTTAAACATCACATTTATATTTTATACACTTTTCAGTACATGTGTTAGACACAACAATTTTAAAGATTTTTTGAAAAGTAAAACCATTGTGTTCATTCTCATTTTCTCTTCTATAACTTGTTAACATTGTTGATCTATTCCATTTTTGTTACTCTATTGATAGTGAGTATGCTTAACTATTTTGACTTCTGATCCCCTATAGAAATTGTTTTTATATATTAATTTTTTTAATATTAATTTGGTAAATAATGGTAAATTTTAAATTTAAAATGTTTTAGCAATGCCCTTTTTTTCTTCTGGAGTATTATTAAAATACATTTTCTGATATTCTGATGAATTGAGCTAAAATTATATTTTTGTCCTTAAGCATTTTCCTATGCGGAAATGTCCAGCTTCACTTGTCCCTGGCCTACACTTTATTAAGGTTGAATCAGTTGTTAGAAATCTATTTGGTCCTATTAGAGATTATCTTGGGCTGGTAAGATTAAGGAATAGAGGACCTATACGAAAAGGAACTGCCTCCAAATATAATCAGTAAAAGAAATGCTGGCTAGAAACAGAGTTTTTTATGTAGCTCTTCTTCTGGTATCATTAGTGGATCGAGTTGTTATAACTACTAAAATGGTGCATTAATTTCTTCTTTCATCAATCCTTCCAAGAGATTTTGAATTGCCATCATAACCAAGAAGTTATCTAGGAATCTGACTTCCTCCTCACTCTGAAAATTAACAGTTCAAGAGACACCATTATATCCTACCCAGATCGGTTGTGAGATGAGAAGACAGTGGATGGTGATTCTCCATCCGAACAGATCTTTAGTCATATTCCATAGCCCAGTCATTTGTCGATACAAGAAACAATAAATCAATAGATTATCCCTTAAGAAAACTTCTCATCAAAATATGCTTTTTCTTGTAGATAATTCGCTCCTTCCTGCTCTTTCCAACAATTGAGAGACTATCTGAGTCACCCAACGGCAGAATCGCCACTCCGTTATTATGCTGGTTTCGATATGTTTTAAATGTTTTTAGCTACTTGTTATTTAAACCATGTCCGGAGAAAATCAAGTCCTGGTTGCTCAGGACGAGCTGTCAGATAATGAACCTGCAGGATGAATGTTCAGTCCAGAATGTGTTGGAACCTTTCTGCCTTGGTAAGCACATTTTAAAACATATGGGTTTATTCTTGTATCATAAAGTGGCAAGAGAATAATCTCAGACAGTGGATGAATATCAAGCAAGGAATTTTGTGTTGGTTTTTTTTCTTCTCAAAGTTTAAAACTAGAAATAAAATGAGAATAGAGTGAGGAGAGTTCTGTACGACAGATAGAAAAGGCTCTTCAGGCTTTAATTTAAAACTTTATTCTGTTGATTCTCCACTCCAGCTGCAGAATTGGTGAGAAAGAATTCTTCTGTACAGAGTACGGAGTCCTCATATGAATCAAAGGTGTGCCATGTTAGTTGGTGTGAGAATTTTGCAAAAAGCAGCCTAAGGAAACCAGGCCCAATATTCCCATAGAGTGAACAGGCTCTGCTTGTATTTTCCTCCATAAATGTTTTTGGAGGGGGTTAAATTTAAAAAGTAATAAATAATAGTCACGGTACTATAATGCTGGGTGCTTTGCTGATTATACTTTCTAAATGTGCCAGGGAATGTTTTTGCTACTTTACTTTTGGCTTCAAACATTGTTTTGAAATGTAATCTATCTTTTTAGTTAATATGGATTTACACTGTATTTATAAATGATTTTCATAATAAAATGATCATGTTTTCTTAACCTATAAGATGGTATAATTGTATACCACACTTCAAAAGATTATTCTAGGATTAATTATGATAATATATACAAATTGCCTATCTAGTATTTTATTTATAATAAGCCTCTAATGAATGATACAACACCAGTTGCAGCAGCAGCTAATGGCACCATTCTAAGATTTTACCTGTATTTCTCAGAACTAATGAGGTTTAGTTATTGTTACTGACCCTATTTTACAGGTGAAGGTACTGAGGTACCGAAAAGGTATGTCTCTGTACATAGTAGAAGTACAGAGATTTGCCCAGAGCCATGCAACTAGTGAGTAGTGTTCAACTCAGGCAATCTGCCACTATGCTAAGCCTCTTTTTACTGTGACTGTTGCCATTGTCTTTCGTCCCAGTTAATCATAAAGTCAGGACTCCCAAATAAAGTTTACCTTGCTCATCTGCATTAAGAGTGCCACAAGATCACGTGATAGTGAATTCAGAAACAAGTCACAGTCCAACCTTTATATTGTACAGCTACATATTGTATGGGAGGTATTTTTCCAAATATGTAGCAAGAAGCAATCATCACAGATATAACCAGTACGTTTTCTGTATTTGTGGATTTTTTTCCCTTCATGTTCTCCTCAACCCCCATTCTTTCTTCTAGCCTTAGCATAGCAGTGGAAGAAGATGAAATAGGGAGAAGGGAAGCAAGGTTCAGGATAGTCATAAAAATCACCAAAGATTGAAGTTAGTGGTATCCCTTAAAAACCTTGTGGTCCAGCGCATCATCCTTCCCTCATAGAAAAGAAAGAGATGGCCTCGTAAGTGAAAATGGCACTGACTGTACGTCAGAAACCTTCAACTCTCACTTTAGTTTCACCCCAGACTCACTCTGTGGCCTCAGCATAGTCCTTTCCCTTCTCTGATTCTTGGTCACTGATCATGAGTAGTCTAGACGAGTAGACTAGATGATCTCAAGGGCCAGTACACCTTCGGAAGTAATTTGACATCAAACAGAAATCACTTGGAATTCTGGCAAACATATATAAAATGACCACTTGTGCTTCAGTAAGTCATCTTATTTCCCTTTACATTTTTTCTCTCTTTAGTATTTTTTACTCTATAGACATAATTTTAAAAAGTATTCACTAGTTAATGACTCTATTTTTCTCCAAGGACTTCTGCTTCTAGGAGGATGAAATTGATGTACTTTTTCATGTTTCTCCTACTAAGTACTAAAAACCCTTCATATTACATATGAAAGGGGGAGAATAAAACAGACTATGTAAGGACTTTAGAACCAAGGAACAACGCAGTGGAGAGTCTCTGGGGTTTTGTTTTTTGTTTTTTGCTTTTACCACATTTGGTCTAGATTTGGAGCCAGAACCCAGAATCAGCAATGGACATATATCCAAAAAAGCCCCAACAACAGCCAGAGGACCAGGAAAATGTCAGCCTTTCTAAAAGAAACTTAGATAACCACTCTAATCTAGCCAAGCACCATAGTAAGAAAGAACTGTGGCCTTATTCACACCTATGCCAGCAAAGCCAAGTGGGAAGCCTGGACTTCATCCCCAGCCCAGCAGTAATGAGGCACCCCTCTCTTTCCCCACTAGGGTGGTGTCTGGAAGAGGCTGAGTGGAGAGTCAGGACTTTAACCCTGGCAGTAATAGGGCCACCGCCACCCCCATCCCTATGATATCCATGGGGGTCACGTGAGAAGTAGCAAGGCATTCCTTCCCCTGCCCAGCAATAATGAAGAGCCCCTCCACCCCTTGGGTGTCAACAGACCAAGTGGAGAACCTAGATTTCTACCCTACCTGGCAGTATGAAGTGGCCTCTTCTGTCCACTTCCCCTGATGGGAAAAAAGAAAAAGAAAAAAAAACTAAAACAAAGTTCAAATATATAGTAACTGAAGGAAACTGGACTTTGGGTGGTAAACACACAATAGAATATACAGATGTCAAATTTTAATGTACACCTGAAAATTATATAATTGTATTAACCAATGTTACCCCAATAAACTTAATTAAAAAAAAAAGTCCTTCAGTCCAGGTTGACGTCTTACATTTCTCATCATTCTGATCCTACCAATTTTGACATCTCACATTTGCCTTTTGATTTTCAATATTTCTCAAATTTTATCACTTTTAATAAAATATTTAATAATCACTTTTACAGGGAAAAAAAGATCTGGAGTATCATAACATAATATCCAAAATGTCCATGTTTTAGTTAAAAATTGGTTGTCATACCAAGAACCCAGAATCTCAACTTGAATTGAAAAAGAAAATAGATGCCAACACAAAAATGATAGAGATATTAGAATTATTGGGCAAAGATTTAAAGCATCCATTATAAAAATGTTTCAATGTACAATTAGTAAACATATTTGAAACTAATGAAAAAATAGAAAGTCTCAGGAAAGAGATATAAACAAAAACCAAATGGAAATTTTAGGACTAAAAAATACAATAACTGAAATAAAAAAATAAATAACTTAAAAAAAATGAATAGGCTCAACAGTAAAGTAGAGAGAACAGAAGAAATAATCAGTGAACATGAAAATAGAAAAACAGAAATAGAAACTTCCCAAATTTGGCAGAATACATAAACTTACAGATTCAAGAAGTTGGATGAACTCAAAATAGGGAAAAAAAACAAAACCACACCAAGACTCATCATAATCAAACTTTTGAAAATTAAAACAAAGCAGATGTCTTCAAAGCAGCCAGAGAGAAATCATACATTATTCAAAGAAGAAAATCTATTTGATTGACAGCTGGTTTCATCAGAATCTCTAGATGCCAAAAGAAATGACATATATTTCAAGTACAAAAAGAAAAGAACTGTCAATACAAAATTCTATATCCAGCAAAAATATCCTTTAGGAAAAAAGAGGAAATTAAGATATTCTCCAATAAGATAAACTAAAAGAATTTGTAACCATCAGACCTATCATAAAAGAACAGCTGTAGGAAATTCTCTAAACATAAAGAAAATAATATAAGAAGGAATCTAGAAACATTAAGAAAGAAAAAAAAGGAACATGTGGGGAATTACGTTTTTTTCTCTTGAGATTTCTAAATTATGTTCAAAGCAAAAATTATAACACTGATATGGTTCTAAATGTATACAGTAGTATATAAGACAATTATATTAAAAATGGAGAGGGTAAAAAAACAAAAAAGAAAGATTTCTAAATTTCACTTGATGTCAACACCAGTAGATTATATTAAATTCCATATATGTAATGTAATACCTAGAATAACCTAGAAAATCTATACAAAGACATACTCAAAAACATTGTAGGTAAATAAAAAAGGAATTCTAAAATATATTCAGTAACACATAGGAAGTCAAGAGAAAGGACACAGTGGAACAAAAAAACAGCAAAAACAAAATAATAAAATGGCATTCAAGCTCTAACATACTAATAATTACATTAAATGTAAATGGCCTAAATACACCAATTAAAAGACAAAGATTAGCAGAGTAGATTTAAAAAAAAAAAACCCAACTACATACTGTCTAAGAAAACTCAGTTTAAATAAAATTATATAAGTAGATTGAAAGTAAAAGAATGGGAAAATATATATCATGTAAACATTAATCAAAAGGAACCAGGAATGATGGTGTTGATACAGGAATCGACCATTTTCCGAAAGTTCATGTTATACCACTTTGCTTTTTAAAAAGACCTGTTTTCACTAACCAGAAGAAATACAAAAAGGATTTTCGCTTTAAAAAAACAAAAACAAAAACAAAAAATTGTTACCATACTAATGTTGGTCTTTCATAAAAGCGAAGTGGTGTAATGCAACCTTTCGGAAAGCAAGAGATACTCTTCACTTTCTGCCATTTGGCTTAGGAAAGTTGTCATAAGAACACTCTACTTTCTAATATCAGGGGCTACCTGTATCAGATAAAATAGACTTCAAAGCAAAGAACATTGCCAGAGACAAAGAGGGATGTTACATAATAGTAATAAAAAGGTCACTCTATCAAGAAGACAGCAATCCTAAATGTATATGCACTAAATAAGATGGCTACAAAGTATATGAAGCAAAAACTGATAGAACTGAAAGGACAAATCCAGTTATATTTGGATATTTAAACACCCCTCTCTCAACAATTGATAGAGCAAGGCAGAAAATTAGCAAGAATATAGAAGAATTCAACAATAGTATCAACCAACTGGGTTTAATAAACATTTATAGGACATTCTACCCAAAATATCTGGATTTCTGATAGGCATTAGGTAGACAACTATCTGTGCTTTCCTTATGCCTCCTTAGAAATATTTTCTAAACCCAAATCAGGACATGGGATATAAGAAAGTTTTATTTGTTTTTCTGTGTGTATTTAATGACCTATGTATAGTTATCTTTCAGTATCTGCAA